AATTTTTATTCCTGTTTTTCCCTGTCACACCCATCATGGCCCATCTCACACAGCCATTGTCACAGTGTTGCACAACAATTCACCCTTCTCCAAAAACTTGGTGGCTTAGCACAATCCCTTTTTCTTGCTTAAGTGTATGTAGGTTGGCTAAAGGTTAGCTGACCCAGGCAGAGTTCAGCTGAGTTTGGTTCCAGGTTGTGGGCTGGAATCGAGTCTGTTCTCATTTCTCTTTCTGCTTGGACCTGTGAAAATAGACATGGTATAATGTTTTCATGGCAATGAAAAGCACAAGAAGGCAAAGGCATTCAAGCTTCTGCTTGTGGCACATCTGTTGATCTCATTGACCTATGCCAAGCATATTGTTAAACTGAAGGTCCAAGGGCAGGGAAGTACTCTGCCTCCAGTGACGCCATGGCAACATTGGATGTGTAGGTGTATAATAACAGAGTTAGGAAAAATTGGGGCCAACAATTCGGTCAACCGATGTCCTCATCTGGATACCTTAGCACTTCAGGACTTCTAAAGGTGCTACCACAGTGCCTTAGTAATTTATGTTCATATCTTTGAATCAGCCTCGACATTGAAAGGCTATGGATCGGATTTGTAAATCTTTGATCTCCAGGACCTAGCAAAGTCCTTAGCACATAAGACCAAAGCAGTCGAACACGAACATGTTCATGCTCAGTAAATGAGGTCTTCAGAAGAGAAGAGAATTGAACTGAAATAATCTGAGGAGAGCCTTACAAAATGTGTCTTTTATCTACCCATTAGACATTTTCTCCTATGCATAAAGCGCCTACAAGTTTCATTTGAATCTTCTTACATTCACAGTGAGATGCAATTTTAAATCATCTATCAACTAATCTTTCTTTTAAACATGATATATTTGAATGGCAACATAAAAGAGTAATTGTTAATGTTGACTTTCCCAGTCTAATCTCATTGTTCAATTTGGCCTCCAATTCTCTTTTTATTCCCTTTTGGTAAGAACTATCATTCTTCACTCCTTAGTAGTCAAAATTCTATAGTTTATCCTTTTTCAAACAATTCTTTTAGTGTGTCAAATATATTTCTAAACTATATTCCATTATATTGATCTCAGAATGCTTTGGTATCCAATGCATTAATTCATCCACATTAATTCATCTATTCTCATGTGTATTGACTTACATAATCCATATGCCCTTAAAACTATAATGACTTCATTGAATGAGAACTGACTATGTGCTAGGCAGGGACCTCTATCATATGCATTATCTCATTGCATGATGGAAAGGCTGAGAATGGAGTATGCCAGGTGCCTACCCCAGCCAGGGAGAGGTGGTTGCAGACCCTTGGATGTCTGATTTCAAGCCCACACACCTGATCACTAGACTATATTGGCTCTAGTGCTTTCATCTCACATATTGGCAAGAACAAGAGACAGAAGACCTCAGCTCAAGTTGTTTTTCCTTTCTGATTTCCTTTGTGACCATGGGAAAAGCATTTGACCTATGTGAGCCTCACTTTATTTTTTATAAGTGGGAACTCACAATTACCTTCGTTACCATGCAAGAGAGTTAGTTGTATGTGGAAACCCTTCAGAAACATTGCATCCTGTTCAAATTCTAGGGCATCTTGATTGTGTTTTCTTCCAGTGTTCCCTGAACTCTTGTACTGAGCCATTTCCTCAGAAGTGATTTGACTTCTGTGTTTCCACTCCACAATTGCTGACAAGGCACACTTGCTCTTCCGTCCTGAGAAATTTCATTTCCCTTGAGCCTTCCTATTTGTTTGTTGAACAAACCACACATCACTAGCAATGTCATACTCCCAGACCTTCTCGATATTTCTTGATTAGCCCTGCCCCCATCCTTATGAATTCACTGTTTTCTCAGGCCCCTCTCAGAAGAGCTGCAGACTGTGTCTGATTGTGTCTATGCTTGCAAAGGCCAAATGGGAATTTGAGAGCTTTGGGATTTTTTTTCCTCAAAGCTGGCATTTTGTCTAACTGTCCCCAAATATTTGATTGTTTTCAAATGATACTAATAGTCTCATTTTAAAAAATGACCAAAGAATTCAGTTTTTGTATGGGGCCTTCAACCCTCTCCCCATATCTCACTTGCTAGAGGTAAAACGGTGAGACCAAACAATCACAGACCTTGCCCCCTTTTTTTACAATCTGTGTGTGTGTGTGTGTTCGTGATTGAGTTAATGATGAATAGTTTGACTGACCTTGTCTTTGCCTAATTTAAAAAAATCACAAACACAGACCGTTATATGTAAATGAAGCATTTGTACTTGCTGCTCATTGCTTGAGCTTAGGTTTCCTAGTGATTTGAAGATAATTTGCAAAGAACTGGGCAAACGAAGCCATTGTTTGACCTGTGGTTGTGTTGGCATAATGCCCCCTCTCATACTCTTACTGCCAGTTGCAGTTTAGTTTCAGCAAAACAATATTATTCCTTATTTTAAATCAATTTTGTTAATTAGAATTGTACTGGTGTTATAGTTCTATTTACATTTATTTGTAAATGTTTAAGGACTTTAAGGATGCACATGAGCTGAGCTACAATATAAAGAGTCTGTGGCCTTCTGTTTGCATGCAATAAAGAAGCACTTTAATTAAATATTTTTATAATTTTATTCAAGGATATTCTTCTTCAATTAACATTTGCATGTTATTTATGGAAAACATGGAAGCTTTAGATTTTTCTCTAAATCATCACCAAGAGAAGATAACAGTGAAGGTATTACCCATCCACTCCACCCCCATGTCATTTTGGTGAGTTTGGGGAAATGGCTTGAATGAAAACTTGACCCGTCTTTGAAATTTCTGACCGCATTGCCAAAGTCGTTTTTGAAAATGTGTTTGTTAACACATAACGGAATCACATCCTATACTCATTTACACTCCTTGAATTTCACTATATGTATTAGGCAACCTTACTTGGAAAAGTAAAAGTGGTAGACATGCACACACACAAACACACACACACAGGTAGGGACAGAAAGAGAAATTGCCTTTTGAATAACTGTGAATGATGTGTAGACACTTTCTGGGTATTACTTCAAATTCCTTTTGGCCCCATGTCTTGATTCAATCCCTGGTGCAACACCCAGTTCTTTGCTGGCTTTGTGTAGCTCTCAGCAGGTGCAATGAGACAATGCCTGGCCTCCTCAGCTCATGAAATATACCTGGTGCAGGCCTTCTGTGATGCTGCCGTGTGGGACACTTGTGGGGGCCCAGTCCATGCTCACACATGCACTGTGGAAAATATGGTGGAACCTTTGGAATACCTTTGGCCAGAGGGCAGGGGGCCCAAGAGATAGATGCTCATTCTCTATCCCATGGGCAGGGAGTTCTGAGTTGTGTATGCCATAAGGCTCAAAAGTCCAGCAGACTAGAGCACTTGACACCTGTTACGGTTGCCAACTTTATAGTAGATCCTTGTTAAGGCTCGCCCACCTTCTCTCTCTCATTCCCTGTTTCCTTCATTTCTGCTCCCAATAAACTACCTGTACACAAGCCTTTGTCCCAGGCTGTTCTCCTTCTGGGTGTAGGAAGGAAAGATCTAGGCTAATGCGGTTAATAAAACCAAAACACCTGGGGCCAGCACTGTGGCACAGCCAGTTAAGTTGTGGCCTATGATGCAGGTATCTCAGAGTGCCTGTTTGAGTCCTGGCTGCTCCACTTCTTATACAGCTCCCTGCTAATGAACCAGGGGAAGCAGAAGAAGATAGCCCAAATACTCAGGCCCCTGCCACCCATGAGGGAGACCAGGATGGGGTTCCAGCTCCTGGCTTCAGGCTGGACCTGTCCTGGCCTTTGTGATCATTTGAGGAGTAAACCAGGGAAAGAAGATCTCTCTCTCTCTCTCTCTCTCTCTCTCTCTTTCTCCCTCTCTGTGTGTGACTTTGTCTTTCAAGTAAATTAAATCAATCTTAAAAGAAAACAAAGCAACCACTTAATCTGGTGCTCAAATAAAGAAAAGATTCTTTAAACACTATTTGATAATCTTTTATTTTTATTATTACATCTGTATCTTTTACCACATAGAATGATATGGGACATATGTAGTTACTTATTACTATAAATAATAAATAAATACACATACATATTGATATACAATATGTAAGCATACCTACACATATGATACAGAGTTGCGAGCCCCAAAACATATGTGTGGTATTTTGAGTGATTGATTCACTAAGAAAGTTCTCATGGACAATTGATTGGTTTACATACTGTATGTGGGATGTGGCTCAATTCCATCTGCATCTACATCAATGCTAGTGGGAATGTAAAATGGTTGAACCTCTTTGGAAAGTAGTTTGACAATTTCTCATGAAATTAAACATAAACTCACCATAAGACCCAGCAATCTCGCCCCTAGGTATTTAGCTAAGAGAAATGGAAGCTTGTCTACACCAACAATTATACACAAGCATTCTAAGAGCTTTATTTACAACAACAAAAACTTGAAACAACTTAAATGTTCATCAACGGAAGAGTGATTTAAGAATTCTGCTCTGTCCATACATTGGACTGCCGAACTATGTAAAGGAAACCAACATCACGGATGAATCTCAAAACTGTTATGTTGAGCAAAAGAAACCATACACGAGTACATGAGTACATGCTGAACGATTCCATTCATATGAACCTCTGACAAAGGCAAAGCTAACTCCTAGTCGTCGACAGTGACTCAGCGCTTGCTAAGGGCTAGAGAGCACATTAGCTGTGAAAGAACAGAAGGAAAATTTGGGGAATGATGAAAATGTGCTATATCTTGATGATGGCGTTGTTTGCACAGGTGTATACATTTGCTAAAACTCACGTACCTTTACAATGCTGTTTTATATCTCACAAGTCAATTTTAAAATGGAAAACAGTTTCCAGGTTAAAAAGGAAACATGATTTGAAATAGTTGCGATGAAGATCTACGGTTCTGCAGATATGCTACACTTGTTCCCACGGTTCCCACGCCACTGACATCTCCTGCTTTCCCTTGTCACAGATGCAAGCCTAATGTTTCCCTGTCTTTTCACAAACAACAAAGCTAATGGCTAAGGTAAGTCTAGAACCCCTGGCACTTTTTCCCCATGATTTCTCATTTTTGTCTTTGTAAATCATTTTCCTGCTTTGTGAACTAATAGCAGCATAGGCCTTTGGGAACTAAAGCTCAAATGTCTCCCATTTCACTTCAGCTTAGGAATTCACAGGATATGTGTGTGGATGTGCATTTGAAACCTGCATTTTTCATTAGATTCATCCTAATAGACTTCCTAAAATTCCCTTTCTATACCAACCATATTGTGTAGGAGTCTCTGGACCCAGGGTAAGTGGCTCCAGGGTTCCTTGCTGCTAGGTTTGTATGTGAGTCCAGTCATAATGGAACCATACTGATGTGCACGTCCCTTGATAGGGGAAAGTAAACTGCTTGTGCGTCGCATGCCATATTTTCTTTTGCTTGCTGTCTTCTCCAGCAGGGAGGATTGCTGACAGCTGAGCAGGCTACCTCATTAGAATTCACTGGGTGAGCGGAGCCTGCATTTAACTGTTGAGGGAATTCTTGCACCAGAGGGTTGGAACGATGTACATTCTCTCAGAAAGCTGCTTGCTTCCTGCTTTGCTGTTGTAAGGAGGGGATGGCTGATACCCACTCTACAATGGCCCATACCAGGACATCAGGAAACACCAAACCACTCCCCGACCAGGAAACAGCAAAACTCCTGTCCAAGATCTGCCTATTTCAGGATATCACACACCTTCCAAAATGGTGATTGTACTTTATTCCTCTCAGAATCCAAAGTCTGTGCCAAGCTGGCATTCCTTTTCTCCTAAAAGCTCTGCTAGGGTTTGTATAGGGTTTGTCACCCAAGGGTTCATTACTGGAAGCTTAGGTCCCAATGTGAAACTATTAGGCAGTGGTGGGAACTTTAAGAGCTAAAGCCCAATGGGAGGTAGTTAAATCATGAGGGGCCTTGACCTCAAAAGGGACTACTGCTGGTCTTGCAGTTTGGGTTAGCTTCCTAGAGAGTGGGTTCTTTTAAAAAAGCAAGAGCAGCCCCTCTCTGCTCTCTGACTTCCTGTCTCCTGATGTGACCTCTCTCTTTCACAGGTGCTCCTCCCATGATGCCATGTTCTGATACAGCCAGCGGAGCCGTCACCAGAGGATGAACTCACGGGGCCTTCAATCTTGGCCTTCTAGTTTCCGACATGGTAAGCTAAATAAACTTCTTGTTCTTATAAAGTCTCTAGCTTTGGGCATTTTGCTATATGTGAATTCAACTGATGATATCAGAAATGGATTAACACAAGCTCCTAACACGCAGGAATTTGACCCTTTACTAAAAGGGTTGGAGGAAGGACGAATGTTCCTTTAGTTCCCCCTGAACCTTTGGCATTCTGCCTGTGATCACACCGTAGACAACGCCTTTCCACTGTTGATTTATCTGACATGTTCCAAAGCAATATTGGGGCCTTTGCCCTAGCCTCAATCCTGACTACAGGAGGTCTTCAAGATCATCAAGTCACACCTCTTTGTTCTATGGAGACAGAAGCCAAGAGGTGATATGACCCACTGCCCGCTCTCCAGCTCTCCAGTCGCACAACAGAGGACTCCCTGAGATTGTGATCTAAGATCCTAAAGACCATATTCCTCACAGGGGAGCTTGATCTTTCCCTCAGGTCGCACCACAAGAGATTCCAGCTTCCAGGCGCTAAAGCAATGGCGCCCCTTTGTTTTTAGCTAGGTTTGAGTCAAATCAATTTATGAATAATGGCATGGCAAACTGCATGTGGGGACAGATGCAGAATGATTTATCAACCCCGAGGGAGATGGAGCTCATGTCTTAGAATCTCAGAGGCGCTTTGCCCCGTGCTGGCAGCTGTTAGGAACAGGTTCTATGTTTCATGAGATGACAAGAGGTATCAAATGGTGATTTTCTTCAGAAGAGGCCGAATAGCCTGTTGCAATCCAAGTTAAGTAAAGAGTAAGGAAAGGTTGCTGTAGAGGCTAGTAACATGAAGAGTGCAGACGTTTCCTCTGTCTAGAAAGGCTTTTGTCTCCTTTAAGTTTCTCTTTCATTTTTCCCTTTTATTTTCAAACTAAAGGGGAAACATGTGTTGGTTGTAAAAAAAAAAATTCAGACAATAAAGAAATGTATTTTCTACCAGGTATGCATTTCTGTGTAACAAACTATCCCAAAACTTAACAGCACAAAAAATTGGCACATACTTTTTAAATTTTATTTGACAGGTAGAGTTACAGACAGTGAGAGGGAGAGAGAGAGAGAGACAGGTCTTCCTTCCATTGGTTCAGCACCCCCCCTCAATGGCCACTACGGCCGGTGCGCTGCGCCGATCTGAAGCCAGGAGCCAGGTGTTTCCTCCTGGTCTCCCATGGGGTGCAGGGCCCAAGCACTTGGGCCATCCTCCACTGCCTTCCCGGGCCACAGCAGAGAGCTGGACTGGAAGAGGAGTAACCGCGACTGAATCTGGCACCCATATGGGATGCCGATACTGCAAGCAGAGGATTAACCTAGTGTGCCACGGTGCCGGCCCCACATATTTTGTTTTGAAGCTGAAATTTAAGTAGGGCTGTGCAGGGACAACCTGATTCTCCCCCTTGAGATGTCTGAGACATCGGCTGAGAATGGTGCAAAGGCCTGAGGCTGGCCAGGCACTTCTCTCTCTTTCCTCGTGTGCTCGCCAGGCCTCTCCATGTACTTACTTCTTATCCTTTCTAGTGTGCTAGCCTCTGGGTAGTGAGACTCTACATGGTGAGGGGCTTCCACACAGTATCCTGGGCAGAATCTGAACGTCTTCTCGTGGCTTTAGCTTTGGAAGTTCCAGAACATCATGTCCACTGTATGCTATCGGCCAAGAAAGTCACTAAGGTGAGCCCAGATCCAACAAGAGACACACTGGACTCCATCTCTTGATAGGAGAAGTAGCAAAGAATTTTTTACCATCTTCAGTCAAGCACAAGGTCACACTCACAGAAGCTTAATCATATGCCCTCGATGTGACTTCTGTCAGCACATGAGTGTGTATATTCTAATAAATGGAGATACCACTATATTCCTTGCAGGAACCAATGCATTTGGATCTGGGTTCGACTTTGTCTTGTATTGTGTTGTGTTAAGGGGTGGAGGGGTATGTGCTGTAAACTCTGCAATTCTGTTGCAAGCTTTGGATTCCTCAACCACAAAGTTCTGCTTCAACAGTGTAGTTCTCTTTGGGAGTTTTATCTATGTGTGAGCACTAAAAAAATGCATGATGAGTGTTCTCAGTGCTCTTTGGGGTGTTCCAAATAACTCGGAGAGCTGTAACCACATACCTTGTCTCCTTTTATCTTCCCAGATACCCCATGAGGTCAGTACAGTAGAATTGCGTGGCACCCACGTAAGCAAATTCAACCGATAATACTTTTATCTGCACTTATTAGATGAGTTCAAAGAGGTTGGGTAACCCACCGAGGGCACACAGCCAGAAACTAAAAAGCCCAGCTTCCAATCCCAGTCAGTTTGGTATCCAAACTCATGCCCTGAACCCCTTCCATTCATTCGGATTTTATAGAAGACAAAACTAAAGGTTAAAAAGTCATCTGGCATGTTTCACTCCCCAGAGTGGTTGCAATAGGCACAGAAACATGACCAGCCAATTCCCATATTCTGGAGTGTTAACCTCTCATAAAGTGTATTTTGTGTTGCCTGTAGCAACAAAGTTTATTGCTGCTTCCATTTGCAGAGACTACTTCTACAAGCTTAACTTCTCGAGAAATCTAAGAGCAGTGGGAACAATATTGAGTGGAGAGGGTTGGAAACAACCCAGTCCATTTTCCAGCAAACTAAAAGATAAACAAAGAACAACTGGAATTGACATTTGAAATATGATTTCAAGACGTCATGACTGGGTGGATTTTTGTATTATTTCTCACTTCCCTGCCATTAGAGCTACGAAGAAGCCACGGGTGCATCCAAGGGTTGACTCTAGAATAGGTCTTCTTTACCTTTTGTCATCTGCTTCTGCATTTGGTTTTGACCTGATTCAACAGCTGTGCCACCAGTCCCATCCAGACCGAAGCTGGGCTGGTCACGGCCCTACTGACAAGTCGAGCCATTGCGATCAGGCAGCTTTCTGGTCCTTTGCTAGCAACTGTGCAATGTTCAGAGCAGAGACCTTCTGCTTTGTTCTGCATGGACTTCTCCAACTGTGTTTTTATTGCCCTGGCTCTCTCTGTCCCCATGCACTTTTGCTTAAATCCACACAGGACTGGAGTGTAGCTCTCAGTGCAACCACAATCTACAAAGGTAATGAACACAGCTGGAGTCTTCTGCGAAATGCTTTCTAACAAAATGTCTGCTGCCTCTGGATGTCTATAAATGGCCTTGACCCATGAACGTCTGTCATTGCGAAGATGGAATGAGTTTTGGTAGATACCTTGGGCTTGAAGAGAGAGAAAAGAAAACCTTCAAACCAGAATGATGCCGTGGAATCTTTTGCTCCATTATTCATTATTCCTTTTACTTATAGCGTGTTCTTTTGTGACTGCATCATTCAATAAACATTTGCTGAGGGCTTCTCCTACGCCAGGGACTGACTGGACATGTGCAAGCATGTACAAGATCAAATAGAAAATGGTCCCTGGATCTACTCCCTGAGAGCTTTCAGCGCAGTGCCAAAGCTTCTATACTCCTGCTGTTAGGTATTTCTTTCTTTCTTTTTCTCCCCTAGCCTCTTTCCACTGCCCATTTTTGTGAAGTTGTTTCACTTGGGTTTTACTTTCAAATTAATAAATTCACTCTTAATGTCAACTATTGTTCTTACAAGTTGTTATTATTATTGTTATTTTAAGTTTGTTATTATTTCAACTAAGGTTGGTTTTATTCATATTATCCTTTAAATTCACTATGATGCCCATTTTTTATCTCTTTAATCATTTTTAGGGTCTTTATTTTGTATTCTTTAGATTTTTCAGTTATTTCAGTTTTAAGCTGTCTTCTTCTTGTTGCATTTGCTCACTATCCCTTATGGTATTTAATTTCCTTGTGTAGCTAGTATATTTTTTATTATGAGTTTATCTTTAGCTTTTGTTTCCTTCTGTGGGAGTCCCTATGGTCTCAGACCCTAGGGTTTCTCATGCCTTGGACCAGATTTTATGTTAATTTCTCAACTTGGGTTTTCTATACCCACAGGTAGTATCAATTAAAATCCACATCTACCAGCAACAGAGGCCTAGAGTTTTGATTTTTCAAAGATGTCTTTTTAATTCCCCTGCTCAAGGATCAAAATACACAGCAAGTATCCTTATTGCTTCGCTGAGCCTGTGGACAGAGTAATTCTTTGCTTTTTTAATGAACACGATATTTCTGTGCCTCCAAGCTCTACGCAGGTGGCTCAGTTGGAGCTCTCACTTTTTATGGGCCCAAGGCGACAGTTTCTCCATGTGAAAGCATTTTAAAGTCCCTGTGTCTGTCCCTGGAACCTATATCTGGGCTGAAGCTCCTGAGGGACACCATGGCACCAATGTGTATTTACAGCTCTGGTTTGCATTTCTCTTCTCATTCGGAATATGGGTGTTCCTCTTTCTCTCAAGCCAAATCTCTTGATGTCTTTCTCTTTAACAATTTGGGAGGGATAGTTCTGTGTCCTTCCCAGAATTTCCATACACCATAAGAGAAAAGTTTTCTTTTACTTAGTTTTTAATATTTTGGAAATTGTATTTGGAGCACCTATACCATTTCATGAACTGTGCCCCCTTATATATTGTGATCACTGAGAGTCTATGTGGTTTTTTCAATGATTCATTAGAAATACTAGAAGGTAAAGTGGCCGGTGCTACTGAAGATGGGTACAGCAACACCAGAAAGTAGAACTTAGAGCTAGTAACACTGAAGAAGTGAGAAGAAAAGTATTAAGTAGACACACAGAAGCTCAAAAAGCATGAGGTTCTAAGGCCAGAGCTTCTGAACAAACTGATTGACACACCTCTATCACACAATTACCACAGCTTATTACATCACAGTATAATAGTTCCTACGCAGGATGATGTCCCTGCTGAGGATTCGTCCTCCATGGAAACTACAGCTACTGCTGTCATTGTGTGTTTGAAGCATTTTGACATTGTATGTCAACCACATTTTGACACTATATGTCAACTGCATTTTGACATTGTATGCCAAGCTCTTCAGGACTGTGAGATGCCACACATCTAGGGGTGGGAGATGATGAACATGTATGGCCACGGTTGAGAAACTTGAATGAGTCACCTGCAAGAATACAAGTGGGAGACTATTGGTTGATGCTCATTCAATAGGATTGAATTATGTTAGTTGTATCTGTCTTGCAAATGAATGGAGGACTAGATACTTCCCATTACCTGGAAACTGGAAGTGAGTGAGAGGCCCAATAGGGGCACTGGTTTTAAAATAAGAAGAGATGGAATGGGAGGTAGGTCAGAAAAAGGAGCTGGGCGCAGCCTCAAAGATTGTAGGGAATGTGGCGAAGCTGTCATTAAAGTCTCAGGCTGCCAGCAAGGCTGGGACGGTAGCTTAAAATAATAGGCAAGAAGCCCAGCTTCAGCTAATGTTAGAGCAGCCTTGGTTATTTTCAAATGAACTTTTTTTCAGGCAACTGGAACAAGATAGTCAGAAGGGGTCAAGGCGGGAAGCAAAGGCTTCCAGAGTCCAGAGGATCATTGACCTCGGGGGAGCGAAGATGATCCCTGTGAAAGCTTTGGCAATGAAGTTCACGGTGCCGTCTGAGACGGAGAGAAAGCCGGCGAGCATGCGAAGCCCCTCACTGAGAGAAAAGGGAAGAGAAAACAGCTCTGGTGACTGGGTGAGCTTGACTCTAGGTGATCTTTTAGAGTGGATAAAGATTGTTTTCAGCAACTTCCATTTCTGCTCTTCTATCTCTCAGAGTCCTGCCTTCCCATCCTTAGTTCAGCTCCCGACCTTTCTCTCTGGCTGGATTAAACTCCTTCCCACCCTCACCACTTCACTGGAACACTCCTCTCTAACATCACCAATGGATGCCAGCTCCAGGGAAACCTTCACCACGTTCATCTTAGTTAACACTGTGCTGAAATTAGCAACAGGATTGAAGTGGGTTGGGAAGATAGCGGGAGGTGAGAGTGTAGCGATAAAGGTATTTTTTATGCATTTCTAATAGGCCAGAAGAGATTTCTTTTAAAAAAAATTTATTTTTCTATTTCATCTGAAAGGTAGAGCAAGACAGAGGGGAAGAGAGGAAGAGAGGAGAGAGAAAGAGAGAGATCCCCCTCCACCAGCTGGCTCACTCCCCAAATGGCCCCAACAGATAGGTCTTGTCAGGGCAAAGCCGGGAACCAGGAACTCCCACATGGGTGGCAACAGCCCAGGCATCTGGGCCAGCCTCTTGGGCACATCATCAGGAAGCTGGTTTGGAAGTGGACCACCATAACGCTGGCCTCAGAAGGGTTTTTTTTTTTTTCTTGTGGTTGGAAAACGGGGATCTCATGGACACCAGGGTCTTGAGGTTAGCATGGCTTTAGGTGGGTTGCTTCCTTGTCTAAAACCTGTGGAGGAAGTGAGAAATACAGTAGGGAGTAACTTCCTGCTGGGGAGAACAAGACTCAGAGACCACAGTTATACGTGTATTCCTCCTTCCTAGACCCCAAGTGACATTAAATACTAATTGTTCTCATTTGTGTAAATGATTTCTGTCTCATACCTTGAGAGGCAATAAAACTGATATACGTGTTAAATGTGAATCAGATTAGGTTGTTTTGATTTCTGCTCTAAACCCTGCCACTTAGCAAAGTAAGCCACTTGAGGGGGTTCACCACATGGAAGTAGAATATATGAGTACACAGGTCTGTTTCACTCACACCTGTCATCAACTCATATATTTCCATCAAGCCAAAATTATTCATGAACATGAAAAGAATGCCACTTTTGAAACAGCCAAAATATTCATCAACAAGTGAATAGATACACAAATTATGATATTTAACACTGTGAAATACTATTCAGCAATAATAAAGAATGAGCTACTGATAGGCGTGACAGCATGGATGAATTGTAAGTATAGTATGGTAAATTTGCAAATAATATGACTTTCTATAATCTACAAAACCAATCCATGGTGCAAAATACAATCTGAACAAAGTTTTTTTTTTTTTTTTTTTTTTTTTTCTGAGGGTTGGGGCTGGGATTTACTGGGAAGGGATATGATGGAACTTTCTGGATGATGGTCTTGTTTTTGTCTTGATAGAGGTTAGGATAGTCTGGCTTTATGCCTTTGTCAGAATTCATCAAATGGTATATTTAGGATATGTGTTTGTGTTTCATTACATGTAAATTTAGCCTCAAGAGAAAAAGAAGCCATAATCAAATATTGAACTTTAGTTGATGATATGCATACAAGATGCATCTGGGGAGAAGTCCTTTAGAAATGCATCCAAAACTAAAGTTGGATGATGGGAAGATAAAAGGATGGACATGTAACAAAGCACCTGTACCAACGTATTCGTGATGGGAACCAGGTGTTGGGTATATGGGTGCTCATTGTAAAATTTCCTCAACTTTATAGTATGTTTGCCAATTTTTTTCATGTTAAGCAGAGAAAAGCAAACCAATTTAAAGTGAGTAAGATTCAGGGACAGTTTGAGTCTGGAATTTTGAACCCATCCCTGACTGAGTCACCCTTGTTATAAAGTTCAGTGTATGCATGTATCTTTTGGTCCATAATTCCTTTCAGTCACCCACCTAGTCAGCCTCTTTAAGCCTTTATCAACAAGCCTGCTTGAGGGGTCCTGCCTACCCTCCTTCCAGTGGAGTTTTAGATATCTTACAAATGTCCAATTATTGAATGGAAATTATTGGGACACGACCTATGATCATTCTCGATTGCAGAAATAGATAGATGCGGGGACTTAGACCCTGATACATCAGCATACACAACTCTCACTTCCTTTCCTCCCTGCCCACTCCCTTAAGCTCTATTGAATTTGTAATGACACGATCTCTCACTTCCCCAAATTGTATTGTAAAACCAGAAAACATATACATTTATCTGGAATGGAACTTCCCTTCTCAGGACCTTATTTGCCCAGAGGACAGGCTGCTATTTGCCTGTGGGATGGGCTGACACCACCTGACCTTCCCACCATCACAATATCTTGCACGTGTACATTACATAGAATGCCAAGTGTAGGTCAAAAGAGGTTGCCAGGAAAACAAACAATAAAAAGCTTCCTCATTTTCCAGGCTTGGTAGCTTGAAGACAGAATGCTGCATTTGATGGTTTTCCATTGCTATGTTAAACATTTTTGTGCCAGGAGATGAGACATAAATAAGTGCACACAGAAGTTAACCTTAATTTTGAGGCAGAGAATTATTTAAGTTCATTCCTGCTATAGAACATAAAGTAGTTTCTACCGAACGATTTAGTTGAAATGGAGGACACTTTATTTATTCAATTTCTTCTGGGCCAAAGTCACTTGAAGTCAAAGCTGATGGTCCACATTTCAGTTTTTAAGGTAATCAGAAAGCATTGGTAGGGGGACTGATGTTGTGTCATAGTGGGTTAAGCCGCCGCCTGCAACACCGGCATCCCATGTGGGTGCTGGTTCAAGTCCTAGTTGCTTCACTTCTGATCCAGATCCCTGATAATGCTCCTGGGAAAGCAGCAGAGGATGGCCCAAGTGCTTGGGCCTTCGCACACATGTGGGAGACCTGGAAGAAGCTCCTGGCTTCTGGCTTCGGCCTGCTCCAGCCCCAGCTATTATGGCTGCTTGGGAAGTGAACCAGCAGATGGAACACCTCTCTCAGTCTCTCCTTCTCTCTCTGTAACTCTGCCTTTCATATAAACAAAATAAATCTTTTTTAAAAAAGGCTACAAGGAAACCCATCCTTGTTTAAAAAGAAAGGCAGAAAGCAAACAAGCAAGCAAGCATCGATGCTGATGGTTAAGATGTGGCCTAGGGTGCCTCTCTTTCTTTGGGTTAGAGTAAGCCTTAAAAGGAGAGCCAGGCTTCAGCAAGCAGGGCAAAATCCATTTGCAATGGTTAAAGCCCAAGAACAGACATGAAGCCCTGTTCTCTGGCTGGGATGTTTTGTATTCATTCAAGAAATATCCACTGGGTATATTCTATGTGCCAGGCATGGTTCTGACATTCAGGTCCTTGTGCACTGTCCCCTTTTTTTTATTTTTATTTTTATTTTTTTTTATCTTTTATTTAATGAATATAAATTTCCAAAGTACGACTCATGTGTTACAATGGCTTCCCCCCCCATACCGTCCCTCCCACCCACAACCCTCCCCTTTCCCACTCCCTCTCCCCTTCCATTCACATCAAGATTCATTTTCGATTATCTTAATATACAGAAGATCAGCTTAGTATACCTTAAGTAAGTATTTCAACAGTTTGCTCCCACACAGAAACATAAAGTGAAAAATAATAGATGATTTTTTTTTAAATGATGATGAAATCAGATCTGACCTATTGTCATGTTTAATCCCAGTGAGAGTCAAGTTGGGAATTGATAATTTCTTTCTTTCTTTTTTTTTTTTTTTTTTTACAGAAGATCAGTTTAGTGTACATTAAGTAAAGATTTCAGTCGTTTGCACCCCTATAGAAACACAAAGTGAAATATACTGTTTGAGTACTCGTTATAGCATTAAGCCTCAGTGTACAGCACGTTAAGGACAGAGATCCTACATGAGGAGTAAGTGCACAGTGACTCCTGTTGTTGAATTTACCAATTGACACTCCTGTCTATGGCATCAGTAATCTCCCTATGCACCAGTCATGAGTTTCCAAGGCTATGGAAGCCCCTTGAGTTCTCCGACTCTTATCTTGTTTAGACACGGTCATAGTCAAAGTGGAGGTTCTCTCCTCCCTTCAGAGAAAGGCACCTCCCTCTTTGAAGACCTGTTCTTTCCACTGGGATCTCACTCACAGAGATCTTTTTGCCAGAGTGTCTTGGCTTTCCATGCCTGAAATACTCTCATGGGCTTTTCAGCCAGATCCGAGTGCCTTTAGGGCTGATTCTGAGGCCAGAGTGCTATTTAGGACATCCGCCATTCTATGAGTCTGCTGAGTATCTCACTTCCCATGTTGGATCACTCTCCCCTTTATTTATTCTATCGGTTGGTGTTAGCAGATACTAGACTTGTTTATGTGCTCCCTTTGACTCTTAGTCCTTTCATTATGATCAATTGTGAACTGAAATTGATCACTTGGAGTAGTGAGATGGCATTGGCACATGCCACCTTGATGGGATTGAATTGGAATCCCCAGGTATGTTTCCAACTCTACCAATTGGGGCAAGTCAGCCCGAGCATGCCCCAAATTATACATCTCTTCCCTCTCTTATTCCCACTCTTATGTTTAACAGGGATCACATTTCAGTTAATTTTCAACACTTAAGAATAACTGTGTGATAATTACAGAATTAAACCAGTCATATTAAGTAGAACAGACAAAAAAAATACTATGAGGGATAATGTATTAAGTTGTCCATTAGCAGTCAGGGCTATGCTGATCAAGTCACCATTTCTCATAGTGTCCATTTCACTTCAGGAGGTTTCCTTTTTGGTGTTCAGTCAGTTGTCACTGATCAGGGAGAACATATGGTATTTGTCCCTTTGGGACTGGCTTACTTCACTCAGCATGATGTGTTCCAGATTCCTCCATTTTGTTGCAAATGACTGGATTTCGTTGTTTCTTACTGCGGTATAGTATTCTAAAGAATACATATCCCATAATTTCTTTATCCAGTCTACCATTGATGGGCATTTAGGTTGGTTCCAGGTCTTGGCTATTGTGAATTGTGCTGCAATAAACATTAGGG